GAATTGAAAAGCCTTAAGATTCCCTTAAAATAATCTTCAATTGTCATCTGCTATAAAGAGTATAAATATTTGAGCTAATTAGTATGTAGACTATAAAATATCAAGAAAGCTGAATAAAACAATTTCGTATTTTATGAGAATTTGTTGCAATTTCAGTTTTTGTAAATGTATGTATACTTGTATTTAAATGTATAACGTAGAAAAAATCTTTACACACATATTGTGTTATACATAAATTTATATTTACCAATATTTAATATTTTAATAATCCGCTTATCGTGTTCTTATAATGCTTGTTTTTACAAGCATGAAAATACGCATATAATCCAAAATATTGGAATGATTAATTTCAAAATGAGAAGAAAAAGAGTTGATCATGTCAACTCTGTGATGCCCATACGAACTTGGTAAATATGAACAAACAAATATGCCACATCTGATTATGGGACAGACAATGACTTTAATATGTTAGTTTTGTTTTACAAGAAATGAAATATAAATTATCAAAATTCTACACTGAGTAAGAATATATATGCATTTCTATATCACAGACTTTAATGTTATTGACACAGATTCTTGAATGTTAGAAAAGTCATAGCGAATTTATAATACGGTTCGAACATACGTTTTCACGAAAATAATAGTTGACGTATTATCATATTAATTTATGTCTAATTTTAGTATACTTTTGAAGATATGACCAAATAACTATAAAATTTGTATGGCAACTATCACAAGAAGTCAAGAAATTTCAACGATTGTTATCAAACACAACAGCCCCAATAATATAAAAACATACTCTCATATTTTTATCTCAGACCATTATTTATCTTAGCGATACTAACGGTAAGGCAAATTTATAATATCCTTCGAACATAAATTCGTACGAGTGTATAATTATGGTGCTAGTCGTAAATTTTGGCAAACGTTTTATATATAAATATGTGACAGTATAATCAATCGAATTGACGTCAGATTTGCAGTACTATAGCCTTTGTATTATAGTCAATTGTTGATCTTCAATGTCAAATAGTGACTAACGCACATGCATTATAGAAATCTAACTCTGTTAAAAAAAGTCATAGATTTGTTTTATCCACATAAATAATGAAAAAATGTTATTGTAATGATAATATATGATAAATCATTTTGCATAACAGCCCTTAATCATAGAGTATTTGTTGCCTATGATTCATTAAATGCAACGAGTATAGAACAAATTAATGGGTTTTTTTAATAAAACATTATAACATAAGGTGGAACCTTATTTGAACTTATCTAAAATTTTTTTTTCAAACTATTTTGCTTTTATAATCAGATTTTGGATTTTTTTATTTGTTGTTTTTGTCATACAATGAAAACCGGTTTGATACCGGCATTTTTTTATAATTTGTTCATTTGTAAACAGAAACAATTTTAGTATTAATAAAATAAATTTAATCTGTTAACCTCAAGATCAAGCTCATAATTTTCTTGTACTAAATAAAAGGTATAGCAAACATTATAATGCTTAAGTAAGTTTGGTTTTCGGTTCGCATTTTTTTTACATACATATAATATAATATATACCTACATACATACATATATTTAAGATTTTATTTTTTTTCCAGTAATTTCCTTTCTTTATATTAGAAGTAAATATAAATTATTTTAGTGTTCTGGCTTTTAAATTCAATGTGATCTCTTAAATTCATCTTAAAACTTAAATTATTTTTTAAAAATTCTGGTTAACTGAATCAAATAGATTACCTTTCTCACTGACCTGTTTTAAATTTGTAGCTTTTTGCAGAAAAAGTTCGTAATTTAACTGCCTTAACTATTCTAATTAAATAAATTCATTTAAATTTTTTTAAACTTTTTAGTTAAACGACTTTAACGGTTTCGTGTGATGAGATAAAAAACATTAAGTGAATCTAAAAAACTTTTATAACATTCAAAAGCATGTTAAAAATCTGTTAAACTTTGAAAAGCTTAACTTACAAATTATATTGGATAATGTAGTAAAGATAAACTTAAAAGCTTCTTTCAGATAAAATAGAAAATATTTTAAATATATCTAGATCATATTGTATTATAAAAGCAATACTAGAAAAAAAAATAGAAGTCAGGCTTTAGGAAGAGTTATGAAACCTTACTTACCGAGCACTGGGTTCTAAAAATTTCAATATCATATATTGTTTTGGAATAATTTGTAGATAAATTTTATAGGTTGAATCCAAAAGTCAAATTAAATTTTGTCAAGATTAGCTATTAAAATAAAAACAAACAAAATTTGAATTTGCATTTTGGCATATGAGCTGATTTTTTAGGACACTTTAAGACGTTTGCAGTAGATTTCAACTATAATTGAATCGATTGATTAAATAAATACGCAAAAACGTTTATTTCATTGAAATCACGATAGAGAGCATACATAATGAACGTACAGTTGTTACGAAAAATCATTATACATAAAAATAAATAATTTACGGTATATAATATATTTTGCGGTTTAATTTATTAACGTTAAATACGAATAGACTTGAAATTGATTAAAATAATTGACGCCATCAAAAAAAAAAAAATAGATAAAATTCAGATCAAACATTAGTCGTTGAACATGACTAATTTTGATAAAACATAATTTTATTTTTAACAAAGTTAAAAACGATAATTTTACATACGTATTTTAAAAACTAAAATTATAAAACTAGTTTGAATTTTAACATAATTAATTATAAAAAATTTAGCCCGAGGTGTGAAACCGAATTGAATAAGGTGTAAAAAGAGAAATGTTAGTCATAAAGGTTATGGAAATTTTGAAAGATTAATAGAAAGAAAATTACGTTATTGAAATATTGAATTGAAATGGTCCGTATGCAGTTAAGCACGGAACAACCATAAATACTTCAGCACATTTATAATGTTTTTCTTCGTCGTTTTCAGGCAATATAATTATAAAATTTGTAATCATCTACATATGTATCTAAATTTATTTATCGTTAAAGTGGCAGAAGCTTCATTTATTATAACATAAAATAACCAAGTAAATAAATAACTTTCACATTGATAAATCTTCCATTGATAAAAGGAGTATCGTATGATTTACGATATCTGACAAAAATGATAATAAAGTTTTTTTTAGCAGTTTTCCAAAAATTTTTTGAAAAAAAGTGCTTATTAGTTTCACTCTGTCCGTCCGTGGACACTTTTTTTGTTTACAAAACTTCTACACCCTTGAAGATAGAAAGCTGAAATTTAATAGGTACATAGATCTTTACTAGAAGATCTACGTACTATTTTACCTATCTCCCCCCCTCTAGAAGTTATACCCCTCCAAAACCCTAAAAATAGCCTTTTTTAACTATTTATTGCAATGTAAGCATTTTTAAAATTTTGCAAACGCAGAAAGACAGTGGCGTGCTTCTCCTAGCGCGTTATACTATAGTTAGACTTTAGAAAAACAAAATGGCCGTTCAAATTTACCGTTATCTAAAGTTCCTTTTTTCCAAATTTTTGATTTTGTTTTTCTTCTAAACCCCAGCCTGTAGAAGCTAGAAATTTTAGGGGCTTCTAGACATTAACAAATACTTCATTTTGTTAGTTAAAATTTTTTTCCATCTCTACCCCCTCTCAAGTTATAGCCTCTTTAAATTTGTAAAATTTAACTTTTGATGCCTTATATTTTCGAAACCGCAAGCTTTTTCAAATTTCTATAAACGCAAAAAGCTAACGGTAAATTCCATGACATTAAAAAATATAATTATTTTTCTTAACTCATACAAATAGCCCTTAAAATCGAGCTTTATGTTAACCCCACTTTATATTAATTTTTGCTTTATTTCAAAGACTGCATAAATGGTTCATCCTAAATATATGCAATCCTAGAAATAATTTTGTATATGAATGAAAATAATTTTAATAGTGTGGTAAGTATACAAAGACTGTATTTAAAAGCTTTTTTTTCACTTGTTGAAGGGAAAAGTGCTACAATAAAAACCATTGGTTTGACCCAACTTTATATTTTGGTGATTTCCTACCTATATTACGCTTTATCAATTCCTTTTCATATAAAATATAAAAAATGAAAGTGATAACAGTAAATTAGAATAACAATTTATTCGAAATTCTTGTCCATCCAAATTTATAAATTCATGATTAAATTAAAAAGCTTGTTTTCTCTTATTTTCAAATTTACTTACTTACCTACATACCTACAAAAATATGTGAACGCGAAGTATTTTTATTATAATGTACAGGGTGTTCGAAACTTAACAGTTCCCCCGCTGTAGGCTGATAAATTGGTGACGAACAAGAAACACCTAGTCACATTTAATTTTTTGGCTTCCCACCCTCGCCTTATGAGACTTCAAAGTGTTGAAAAATTTTGTTTTTGATTTTCAAAATACTTGATTTGAGTTATTTTTTAATGCTTTGACATATTATTTCTGCGATTTTTCCAACATTATGCTATATCGAAATAAAGGTCAGAATACAAGGCTTCATTTCCTGTAAAAAACGTTAAGTTGTAATTATGTACATAAATAGATGACGATCGAAATAGTTTTAAAAATTTTGACTTATCATTGGAATACCTCTGAAACGCGACACCACGTAGATGCGCGTTTTGAAGGTTATTTACATGGGCTACAAAATAAGTATGTCAAGTTTGATTTACCAGTCATATTTTCTGAGTTATCAATAAAAATATAAAAATAAGATGGTTTTCAGAAATTATAAATTTGAAGCCTAGAGAATGTGGATCCAAAAAGCAAAATGTGGCTAGTTTTTTCTTTATTCGTCTGGATGCATTCCATCCCATTGCTCAGGGAGTACTATTGAGTCTCGGTCACCCTGTAATAAAACTTTGAATAAACGTGTTATGTTGAATATACATATGTATGTATATACATATGTACAATGTTTAGGTTGTAAAATATTTATGTAGAATGCGATAAGAACTTTAAATTCGAATCAAGGAGAGTTCATTAGATTTTTTTTCAGTTGATTCTAAACTTCTGTCCAGCTATATTGGCTGTTGTTACACTTGGTAACTGCCGCTATTTAGTATTTTAAAAAGGATTTATTATCTGAATAAATAAAGAGAAAGGGAAATGTCTCATCAGAAACCAAAATTTACTGTAGAACTAATAAAAGAAGAGGACCAAAAAGAAGTTTATGAAGTTCTTAAAGAATTTTTTCTAAAGGTAAGAAAATTTTTAAGTTTTGTTTTGTAATAAAATAAATTCTGATCATATATAATATTGAACTTGATTCTAACATACACAGGCACATAAAATAGTGACATACAAACATATTATTGTTTTCATTTACTTACATACATATGTACACATATGAATTTTATTGTGTCGTGATTAGGTAGATCACTAATATTTTTTACTGATATTTTTAATTTTTATACAGAAAATTGCGAAGTTCAAGTTCAAGTCATTTTTTACATAGTTGCAGTAATGTTATATACAATTAATGCTAAATAATTTTTCTTTTAAAAATAGGATGAACCTAATTGTAAAAAAATGGGAATTACTCATTGTGATGATGCAGAAAAATATTTAACAAAAAATCTGGGAGATAATTGTTCTTTTAAAGCGGTCGATGAAAATGGAAAAATAATAGGTGTTGTTTCAAATGGAATTGGAAGGAGACCTGTAAGTTTATGTGTTATATATTTTTATATGCATACAAGTAAATTCTGTAAATAATGATGTATATAGAACAGAAACTCATCTATCACTTTTATATGCGTGTATATACTAACATAATATATAGTTACTAGATACACCAAAACAGTCTGCTGCTGCATTATCAAGTGATGATAGATGGCGTAAACTTGGTATGCTCATAGATAATATCAATGAACATTATGATATTTTTCAACAATATCCCGATTCGGAAACGTTCCTTGATGGAAAAGCAATAGCTGTAAATCCAGATTATAGGGGCTTAGGAATAGCTGGCGAACTATTAAAAAAAACTATTGAATATATGAAAGAAAATAATATACAAGCAATGATGAGAACATGTTCCAGTGCATTTTCTGCCAGAGTTATGGAAAAACTCAATATGAAAGAAGTTTATAGAATTAATTACAAAGATTTCATTGTTAATAATGAACAAGTTTTAAATCCAGATAGTCCACATGTTGCTTGTAGAGTTTTTGTATTTGATATAAAAAATAATGTGTGTTGATATAATAAAATAATTTTGAAATTTTTTAACAAATTTATTGAATTTATTATTATTTTTTTTTTTTACCGAGAGGAAGAGTGCAAAATCTCGAAAGACACTGCCAGACGAAAAGTAGTAGTGTGGGACTTTAATCCACTAAAACACCCTCCTCAAAATAAATTATAAAACTAGTCGGAAACGACTAATCATTAATTTTGCTCTAACCTTTTTGATTATTTACAAGCTTTTTATCTGGCACAATAGCGTACTAAGTACTCATTGTTCCAGATAAAAAACTTTAAACTAACTCGAGAGGTCTCGTACGTTTAAGTCTCCTAACAAAGTTTTGATTGTCAACCAATCGAGCCGCCTCGATGTTGACATGATTGGATAAACTTATTTTATGATTGGCTGCTTTTCTTCTCAATAAAAGTTTCTCTAGCGGTTTTGAAATCATCGGCAGCAATGAGATGGGTCTATAGAGCGATTTTAACTGGGAGTCCACAGATTGTGCCAATATATAATAATAAGCCAATATATAATAATTCAAAAAATATTTTTGAAGATATTTAAAAAAATCTTTGCAAAACTTTAAACGCGTTTTCTGGCCGAACTAGAAGAAATAGAGTGACTTTAACTTTTTTTTGTGATCACAGGGATACCACAGATTCTGCCAATATATAATAATAGGCTGTAGCAAATATATTTTTGGAGATATTTAAAAAAATCTTTTGCAAAATTTTGAACGTGTTTTCTGGCTAAACTAGAAGAAATAGAGCGATTTTAAATGTTTTCTGTGATCACAGGGATACCACAGATTCTGATAATATATAATAATAGGCTGTAGCAAAGATATTATTGGAGATATTTAAAAAAATCTTTTGCAAAATTTTAGACGCGTTTTCTAGCTAAACTAGAAGAGATAGAGCGATTTTAAGTGTTTTTTGTGATCACTGGGAGTCCACAGATTCGGCCAATATATAATAATAGGCCGTAGCAGAAATATTTTTGAAGATATTTAAAAAAATCTTTTGCAAAACTTCAAGATAATCAACTGATTTAATCGAAATTTAATATTTAAATTCTTCGTACTAGAACATTGAACATGTAAATTTTTTGGAAAGATCAGAAAGAAATTTTTATAATATTCTGTAACACTTTCACTTAACTTCACAATACACATTACGGTCGGTTATGTGCTGATCACATCAGATTTTTTTATTGTGTGATGGATTTGTTCTAAAATGTTTTCACGGTTCTTTTCTTAGCTATTTTTATACCCTGCACTTCGTGAAGGGTATATTAACTTTGGTATGGAGTTTGTAACTACTTGAAGGAGTCATCTGCGGTATGGACATATATATATATTCTTGCTCAGCGTAAAATTCTGCGTTGATTTAGACATGTCCGTCCGTCCGTCCGTCCGTCCGTCCGTCCGTCCGTCCGATCGCACGATAACTCAAAAACGAATAATGCAATCGACACCAAACTTTCACAAGTTGCTTCTTTTGTGCCAAGGACGAACCCTATTGTTATTGGACCAATTCGGACAACGGGTTCGGGTAGCTGCCATACAACTCAAAGAGTTTATTTTAATTATTTCAAAAACTAATAAAGGTACAAATATAAAATTTTGTATACATGTGTCCAATTATATTCTACATATGCTCTAAAAATTTTAATGAGATAGCTGCACCGGTTCGGGTGGCTGCCATACAACTCCAAAAGCAAATTTTTTATATTCGGCAAAATAATAAAGTCAGATTCATGAAACTTGGCAGTTGTGTGTCCAATTATAGGTCAAAGATATTTCTGAAGTTTTGGTGGAATTGCTTGACAGGTTCAAGTGGCTTCCATACAAGTCCAAAAGCTTATTTTAAATATTTGGAAAAGTAATAAAATTAGATTCATGAACTTGGCAGTTGTGTGTCCAATTATAGATCAGATATACCTGCGAAGTTTTAGTGGAATTGCTTGACAGGTTCGGGTGCCTGCCATACAACTCCAAAAGCTAATTTTAAATATTTGGAAAAATAATAAAGTCAAATTTATGAAACTTGGCAGTTGTGTGTCCAATTATAGATCAGATATATTTGCGAAGTTTCAGTGGAGTTGCTTGGCAGGTTCGGGTACCTGCCATACAACTCCAAAAGCTAATTTTAAATATTTGGAAAAATAATAAAGACAGATTCATGAAACTTGGCAGTTGTGTGTCCAATTATAGGTCAAAGATATTTCTGAAGTTTTGGTGGAATTGCTCTACAGGTTCGAGTGGCTCCCATACAAGTCCAAAAGCTTATTTTAAATATTTGGAAAAGAAATAAAGTTAGATTCATGAAACTTGGCAGTTGTGTGTCCAATTATAGGTCAAAGATATTTCTGAAGTTTTGGTGGAATTACTTGACAGGTTCAAGTGGCTTCCATACAAGTCCAAAAGCTTATTTTAAATATTTGGAAAAGTAATAAAGTTAGATTAATGAAATTTGGCAGTTGTGTGTCCAATTATAGATCAGATATACCTGCGAAGTTTTAGTGGAATTGCTTGACAGGTTCGGGTGCCTGCAATACAACTCCAAAAGCTAATTTTAAATATTTGGAAAAATAATAAAGTCAAATTTATGAAACTTGGCAGTTGTGTGTCCAATTATAGATCAGATATATTTGCGAAGTTTCAGTGGAGTTGCTTGGCAGGTTCGGGTACCTGCCATACAACTCCAAAAGCTAATTTTAAATATTTGGAAAAATAATAAAGACAGATTCATGAAACTTGGCAGTTGTGTGTCCAATTATAGGTCAAAGATATTTCTGAAGTTTTGGTGGAATTGCTCTACAGGTTCGAGTGGCTCCCATACAAGTCCAAAAGCCTATTTTAAATATTTGGAAAAGAAATAAAGTTAGATTCATGAAACTTGGCAGTTGTGTGTCCAATTATAGATCAGATATATTAGCGAAGTTTTAGTGGAATTGCTTGGCAGGTTCGGGTACGTGCCATACAACTCCAAAAGCTAATTTTAAATATTTGGAAAAATAATAAAGTCAGATTCATGAAACTTGGTAGTTGTGTGTTCAGTTATAGGTCAGACATATCCGTGAAGTTTCTATAGAATGGTTTCACAGGTTTGAGTAATTGCTATACAACAATGAAAGGTGCAGGGTATAATTCAATCGGTTCATACCGACTGAAACGTTTTTACTTGTTTTTTTTTTATTTTTTGCTTAAAAAGATTATTGAACATTTTTTTCTGAATTGGTATAGATTTATTTATTTGCATGGGGAAAGAAATAAAACGAATTTTGAATAAATACAACATAATTATTTGAAAAATAATTTCGAAGTGGTAAATTTTCTTCAGTTAATTTAGGAAATTAATTAATGTCAAAAAACGAGCTTAAAAAGAACCTGAAATATGCGTGTAATCCGATAACTAGTTAATTAACTCTATTTTAATGAAAAAATTATTTCCGAATTTTCGCCACATATTGGAGGATATTTTAGTTATCGAAAACACAAATTTTGAAAAATCTTATTTTCAAATTTTAATTTTATGGTAAAAAAATTCTTTTGTTTCTAATATCTTTTCATATTTGTAGTTGACAACAGAGAGCGCTAAAATCAGTTTGCTACAAAAAATAAATATTTAATGTCCAAACCAAAATTTCTCTACTAAATCATAGATGGCACCTTACAATATCTTTTTAATGAATGTATAATATTGTTTCTGCAAATATTCCTTCAATCATTGTATAATAAAATTTTGGTAAGTTAATTTTTGATTTAATTAATAGTAAATAATAAATAAAAACGAAAATAACAAATTACACAATGATTAAATTTGAAATTTTTGAAATAATACTATAGGTTTTCAGCTTTTACGTAATATATTACTATGACGTCAAAAGAGTTGCTTGTTTTTGCGCTAAATCTTATTGTAATTAATACGATTATGTTATGTACAAAATAAAAAGCAATTTACTTAATTATGGTTTATTTTTTTCCTACAATTTTTAGCTGTTTTTTGTTTAATGTTCTAAGTGGCTGATTTAATTAACAGACTGTAAGTGGAAAATTAACGAAATTTTATTTCGATTGGTGTGTGTGTGTGCTTACAATAATTTCCTTCATGAACCTATTTTTATTCGAAAAAAAAAATTACTAAATTAATTATTTATATACACAGTTCATTTATGTGTCTCTTCTCGACAATAGGCTAACTATATTTATAACTAATATACAGGGTGTCTCATATTAAAGTGAACTGCTATATACCAATGTATAGGTCTTCATTAATAGGCAAAACTTTTGGACGGAGTCAATGATCACACCTCAACAGATTTAAAGTCAATCTCGACTTGATTTTTTTGCTTTTTGAAATTTTAAATATAACTCCGTGACTGTGTAAGATAGGCACGTAATAAAATATAATTTAAAAATCTCAGAGTAAAGATTTTCTTATGAATGTCAACATTAGTTTTAATTTGCTCAGATTTTGCAATCACATGACTTTATGGTTCGAAAAACTTGAAATTTTAATTCTTCATTTTTAAAAAATGTTAATTTTCAAGGTGACATAACGTTGAAGCTTTCTCCAATTTTATTACAGCTGGCAACCTTGTCAACTGATCTTCAATTCATTGCGTATGATTCATCTTGCTATCTGACCTGGTGATCAGAAATAGAGTACTGCGAATATTATTTAATTTAAGTATAGATTAAGTACTGCAAATATTAATTTTTTTCTTCAATGATTTAGAAAAACGTATCACAACCGTTTAAAATGGTGTCTCTTTTCTATTACTCTCAATTTAACAACTTAATTTCTCTTACATTTGCAAATGTTACTTGTTATGTTACTAAAATAAATTTTAAAATTGATAATTACAACATTTGATTATCGATTCTTGCATTATAAACGTTAGGATGACATATCACACATTTTAATGTATAATTTACTTTTTTTTGCGAAATAAAATTTCCAAAAATTATTCTGCTG